AGCTTATAAATAATAGAATATAAAAGAAGCAGCTTTTTTGAAACAGTTGCGGGCATAACGCCTGGCTGTCGAGATAACAGGAGTGGGAAAGGAACGCTGCTGCATCGGTCGATTGTCGATGGAGGCCCGCAACGGGTTGGAGAATAACGCATCAGTTGTTTTAGCTACGTTGTTTCTTTACCTGTTACGAGCATAACAGAGCGGCGTTCGAGATAATCGGAGTGGGAAAGTAACGCTGCTGCATCGGTCGATTGTCGATGGAGGTTTGAAACAGGTTGGAGAATAACGCATCAGTTGTTTTAGATACATATTGTTTTTCAACCTGTTACGAGCATAACGGGCGGAGGTCGAGATATTATGGCGCTGTATGTTTCAGTACTTTGTTATTAAGTTTCAATATTTAGGTATTTATTTATTCTGAAAATTTTTCAGAATAATATTTTAAGATTTTTTAAAAATGTATACAGGGTGTTTTGAAAAATCTGGTCATTGATTAATCACGATCCTGCTTAAAGCCCTTGACGTAAAAAGCTGATTTTTGGAAAACGGATTGACTTTAGGGTGTAGAGGTTAGATAAGAAGGGATTTTTCGAAACTCAAATTCTAAGGTGGTGAAACCACCCTCAAATATTAGAATATTTTTTATTTAAAAACTGGTGAGTTTTTCAAAAAAACTCTTAAACACGTATATTTTATTTTGTTGTTTTACATACTTTGAGATTTTTAAAAAATATATACAGAGTGTTTCATAAAATATGACCACTGAGTAATCATGATTCTGCTTAAACTGCTTGACGTTTAAAGCTGATTTTTGGTAAACGGATTGACTGTGGGGTGTAGAGGTTCGATAAGAAGGGGTTTCCGAATCTCAAATTCCAAGAGGGTGAAAACGCCCCTCAAATATTACAATATTTGTTATTTAAAAAACGGTTAGTCTTTCGGGAAAACGATTGGACACGCATAATTTATTTTGTTCTTTTACATATTTTGAATTTTTTTAAAAAATAATACAGGGTGTTCCAAAAAGTTGAGTAATTGATTAACCACGATTCTGCTTAAACTGCTCGACGTTTAAAGCTTATTTTTGGTAAATGTGAGAAAATTTTATCCAGTTTGTATGTTAATCGAAATTCTTGCTTTGCTTTATCATCACCATTCCAAATTAATAATTCGACGCGAACGAAGTCGCGGGTAGTAGTTGGTTCACTTATGAAGAATATACTACACGTTTTCTTATATTGCTATTTTTTGACCGCAAATGGTAAAATCATAACTAAGAGCTTCTCGCCCGTCGAGTGAGATGCACCCTGTACACTGCTACGCAATTCAAGATCTACGCGGAACGAGGGCCAGGGCGTAGGTAGATCGGAATGTATAGGTATAGACGAGTGGCGGCATTTTGGCTTTTTTATATCGCAATTTGTAAACAGCGCTTATTTGCAAACAATCCCCGTTTTTAGAGAGGTATTTTAGATAACAATCGATATTTAGAAATGTTTTGACACCCTGGAAATACTACCACCGAGCACGTCATTGTTGCAACTTGCAACTGCGTTAATACGCCTGGCGGTGACCGCCTCATACTCTTTCAGATATTTAGCAATAAAATAAAGAAACCTGTTATTTTTAAGCTGTTATTTTAAGCTGTTTTTTATAAATAACTATAACAGTTTTAACTGTTATCTAAAATAACAGTTTTGTGCCCATCACCACCCGATATGTTAACATTATTTTCTAGGTTCTACCTTAGTACCGCAGAAATAAAGGGAGGCAAAACACATATTACGATTAATCAATCGTGATATCATTTTCAATGGGTATAGTTATAAATGAGGTCTAAATTTTTAATAATAATAATTAAATTATTATTAAAAAAATATATTCGGCAATTAGAATTCGTAAACAGACGCGTTTTAGCTTACAGAGTGTTTTGATTGCTTTGGTTAGCTTTGTTTTGGTTTGGGTTGTTGGTTTATTTTTGTTTTATCTCGGTTCGGTATCGATGTCTAAATTACAGTATCTACTAGGTTAACTTCACACCTACAGAAGAAAAGTGTGAAGAATGTAAAGCAGAAACACGTTTTCATGTAACTGATTTCAATAAGAGAATTTTTTTTTGTTGTTTTTTATAAGTGATTTCAAGTAAAATAAACTTTACCCTATCCGTTTATAGTGTTCTTGATTCGCCTTTACGTAGTGTTAAACAGAAATTATGTAAATCTCTCTGATACACTCAGATGAAAAAAAAAACGCAACGGAGAAATTTTTGGTCTAATTTAAAGTGTTATATTTTTGTTATTTTTAAGCCGATTTTCATGATTTTTTAGCAGACTGTATACAATTCTATCACCTTTTATTCGTAAACTTAGTTCTTTATAAACTTTAGTATTTGGCATATTATACAGGGTTAATCCAGGGGTTGTTTTTTACGTTAACTTTAAACAACCTGTGCAATAATTTCGTGTGTAAATTTTCCTAAAATATAAGTTTACGGCCAGAACCATGTCTCCTGAGTATTTTGTTTTTTAGATCATGCCAATACATGCCTTAAAGATTAACCTTAAGAGTGAAATGAGCTTGCCACCAACAATTGGCAATTTTTTCAATTTAACAAGGCGGCTTTGGTGATTATTGTGAACTATATACTACTATGAACTCGAAAAGAACTGATTGAATGAAAATTTGAGGTCGCGAAGCAGTACCAGCTTCATTAAATGAACGTTTGGTCCTTAAAGAAGAATGGGAAAACATAACTCAATAGATGATAGACTTGAACTAAAGTCGTCATCGTTCTTGAAAAAAAAATCAGTGGCAAGAGAATTTAATTTAGCGTAAAAAAATAATATTTTGCCTGAAGAAAAACTCTCTTAACTCAAGAAAACTGGTTCTCTTGAAAAATTCGAAAATTTCTTTTGAATCTATTTTCATTCAACCAAGTGAAAGTTACTTTGTTTTAAGATAATAAGAAAAATACGCTAAGAAGTACTTCATTCAAGAAACATGGCCATTTTTCCAATAGCTAAATACTCTTTTGATGAAAAATAATAACGACACGCAAAGACGATGGCGAAGGACGGTATACAATCAGTCGGCATCGGCAGTCCGATCAGTCGTACGTCGCATTTGATAGGTCGCACATCATAGTACGTACGCGTTTTGTTGCTTGGAATTTAGCATAATTTGCTTTTTAAACGCATATCGTATAACAAATTAGTGATCGTTATTAACATGCATTTGTCATTTTTTATGGACAAATTTTAAGATATATGGATTCTTTAAAGAAGTTTCTCAAAAAATGGAAATTACAGCATTTATTTGCTATACATATTTGAGGGTAAGAAACATTTACATAATGCACCTGTTTAGATAATGCATGCGTGACTATAGATAGAATAAGAATATAGGTATCAATTTTTTTATGGAAATAATTACAAAAATTTTAGAATTTCAAGTCGTCGTATTAAAAAATTCAAAATGTGACCAAAGCTTATAATTTTAATAATTTACTTGCTTTACTTTGATTAATCCTGATGTAACATTTTTTTGTAATTTGTAGAGTGATGAACCACCCCAAAAAATACCCAAGGAGTGAAGAAGCAGAAATAACTACTATCGAGAAAAATAATATCACTTTACTTACTACTCTGTAGTAAGTAAAGACCAGGAAAACCTAAATTTATCAGAAAATAATATACCTCGTAATATGCCTGTATATGATGTATAGACTTCTTTTAGATCAAAATAAAATTTAGTTGAGTCAATATTATTCGTTATTGGTTTAAGAAAAGTGTCGCTTTAATCAAGAAATGTCCCTTTTCAATCAAAAATTTTTGCATGAATCAAAGAGACTATTGTTCTTGTATATAGCAAGAACTTCTTTGCATATTCATTTTGGGTCAGGAGTGAAATGCTTTGGACAGATAGATTACTCTATTCTCTAAAGTAATTTTTTAAAGCTTATGAACAGATAGTTAATGCTTTGGGCAAAGAAACGTCGTTCTTGGCCCTATTGAAAAGCGCCAATCTTTTGGGTCAAAGTCATATTCATTTCGACTGAGAGATCCTTATTTTCAGTGCAGCCTCAATGACAATATGAGCGGACGAATACAGGCAGTTATAGCAGCCAAGGGCGGCAATACAAAGTATTAGAGTATTTTTTACAATTTTTTTCTGTTTGTATACTTGTGTATTACAGATATTTTCTTTAATATCGTTATTAATGTTTATTAAAACCCGGACCCGGAAAAAAATCGTAAAAAGACTAACGATACTTTACGAAGTCTTTACGATTTTTTTAAATTTAGTATAGAGTATCCAATGCAGTGTAATATGACGTAGCTTGCTAAAAAATTGATAAAAATAGGACTAAAAATAACAAACATATAAGACTTTCAATTTGACCAAAAATTTCTTGGTTGCGTTTTTTTTGCATCTGAGTGTAGTTTGTTGCGTTGCCGCGGTAGTAAGATAGGAATATTTTCATTAATTCCCTCTAGCGATCGGATAAAGATGTTTAAATAATTTAAAATTCCCAGTTTTACAAAGGAAACCTCCGTTTTAATCCGCACGAATTAAAGTTTTATAGTTTAATAAGGTTTTGACGGCGCCGAAGTTATAACAACTGCCAATGCGAATTTTCTTTGTGCACTTTCAGAATTCGAAATTAATTTTTCAATCGGCCATGGACCAGTAAAACTAAAATCCCTTCAAACTTCCTGAAAATCAGCTTAGTTTGTTAGAGCTAAGTTTTTTTTTATTTTATTTTATCTAGTGTTATTGTTTTGTTGTGTCCTTTAAGTTCCATAAAAACTGCTAACTAAGTGCTAAATGTGTGTTCCATAAAAACTGCTAACTAAGTGCTAACTGCTAACTAAGTGCTAAACAGCTCAAAATATTCATAATAAGTTAAATTTTTATATTAATTTAATATCGTACTAAATATTATATTATCTTTAGACCTTTTGAGAGTACTGCTTTATAACTAATCTTGAAGTACTTACATTGCGCCAACATAGAGAGCATCCCGTTTGGTGTCCAGATGGAAAGTTCGGTAATACTGCATCCCACAGGAGAACTCTCGTACATGATCTGGAACAAAAATAAAATGTAAGGTAATGAAAGGTAATCATTTTTTTAAATTTAGTAAAATAACATAGAAAATCTTAATCAGTTTGGTGCTCTAAATACCAACGCCCTATATTATCTGGAAAGATTTCCGTGGGTTTTATAAATAGGTAAATTTATAGATTTTAATGTGCTCTGTCCGAATTATAAATTTTCCACTTCATATCATTACCGCCTGGCGCCGCTATATTGGAAAAATTGTGCCCAAAAGCAGTTTTTGACAATATCTTTTTTTAAACTCCCCATTTTACAATAAAAACATTTATATATAATGTGAAACTAGAGAAAATTTCCTATCCTATGTAGTACTTTAAAAATAACGATTAACGATAAAATTTAGATTATATCCAAAAAAACACATAAATCAGACAATTTCAAGGGGTTAAAACCGCATGTGGCTTGATTGGGGGTGCGTATACAGTCATTTGTGGTAGAATAGGTGTTCTAAAGTCATTGCATGGGGATATATTGGAGAATACAATGGGGGTGAAATCAGGGCGAAACAAAATGTTATTAAAACACATCAATAATACGAGTTATTATCATTGGTGGTTGTATTTGAAGGGTCCTATAATGTTAGAATACAAATATTCTGTTTTAAAATTTTGAATTAAAACGATACATTTCTTCTGACAGTTGTTATATTTTATCAAAATCAAATTTAATACATAACTATAAACCATGCGTTTGAATAAGTTATATTGTGTGTGAATAAGTGCTAAATAGACAATAATAGACTAACATTTTTTCCAAGTATAGATTCTATTTTTACACTCTGTCGCACGAGCTCTTCAAGCGAGTTAGTTTTTAGAATTTTTAGAATTAGAATAAGTGGGAGGGGGGTTAATCTCTGCGACCTTAGAGATCTATTGTGTCCCCCTTTCTTGAGTTATAACTCATCATACAGTCCCAGGACTTCCTACGGAGACCCGTGTCCCTCATAGTCGAGAAGCTACGACCCAGGCCGGGTAGACGAAACGGTAGCTTGTGTCGCCTGTTGGGTTTAGGGGTAGGAGGTAGACTCCCGACCCTTGGAGGAGGTGGTAGCTTGTATGCCACTTGCGGAGGATGGTCTCACGCAAGTGTCAGCCACCTCTCCTGTAGTTCTCTTTGGGTTTGGCCCCTTGGAACTTTCATTGTTACTGTTCCCAGTGTCGCTAGGGGGTTTCCCCACAGCTTCACCGGTGATGTTTTTATTACTATTATTACCAGATCTCATAGTGTTCCTATGAGTCGCTAGGGACAGTCGGTCCACTTCTACAGAGCCCCGCATGTAGAAGTAAGGGATAAAATACAATGGGGTGCCGCCCGGTGCCAAAAGGTTGAGGCTGTCCTTAGCCCCGCCCGGTATCGTTATATGTCTTGGTGCAATTCCCTGGACACGACACTACAGTCAGGGACAAGACGATGAGTGAGATGCTTCTTAGACCAAGCCAAGTGTTAGGGGGGATTCACCCCAGCACCTGACAAGGAGCTTCCCCACCAACGACAAGGTCTTGCATCTCCTAGGAGAAGTAGTTTTTAGAAAGAGATGTTATTTTTTTTATAATCAAATAATTATTAAATGTAACTAATTTCAAAAATAAAAGTAGTTTTAAAGAAAAGATGACTTTGACATTCAATAAGTTAATTCATGAGTCAACTTTTGGCAGTTTGAAGTACGGCCTTAGGCACTGTCGTCATTTTGAATCAACTAGCAGTTGAATTATTGTGACTTGATCAATTCACTTGACTGGCAAAAATGCTCCTATAGGTTATACCGGGTGCGTCTCAAAAGTGGCTCGCCCCCTATAACTTTTTTATTTTTTCAGATAATAATACGAGATTTGGTATATTAGTATATGACATAAATTAAGATTGATTGACGTATTAAATTGTTTTTGGTTGCTTCCTGTTTTACCGGAAAAGACTACAACTTTTTATTGTTAAATAGCACCCTCGATATATTTTTACTTTGTTCGATAGAAAATAAATAGAATGACATATCATATGTAAATTTTTGACATTTTTGCTTAAAAAACACTAATTTTTAATCAAGTAACCGTGGACAAATAGATTTGATCGCCTAATGTTTTTCGTGGCTTGTCCAGGTCGGTTAAAAGATACCCAAATCGTATTTTCAATCATATCTCAATTTGTTTAAATGGAAAAGGGTGGCTCATTGGTATATTTGAAAAAAGCATTTTTTACAAATAATTTGGTTCCACACACTTGGTACTTCGAGTCAAATTGTCGTTATGAACCGCATGTTACAATTTCAAATAATAATCCGTATGCGAAAATGTCAAAAGTTGACATATGATATGTCATTCTATCCAGAGTGTCATTTTCTATCGAATAAAGTAAAAATATACTGAGGGTGCCATTTAAAAATTAAAAGTTATAGTAATTTCCGGTGAAACAGGAAATTGAATACGTCAATCAATCCTAATTTATGTCATATACTAACATACCAAATCTCGTTTTTTTAATTGAAAAAATCATAGGGGTGAGCCACTTTTGAGACGCACGCGGTGTAAATACAAATATTTCAAAATTTAAATTTGAAATAACTACATAAAAATCACACTGAATATAAACCGTCACACAATTATTCCTGTCTTATTCAATCGTACACCAACTCTTTTATATATCATAAAAACTCGGCAGAAAACACACGACCAACTTCAAAAACAATGACAAACAACTCCCATATCTCAAAGTTGCTTATAAACTTGTTGTCGAGGCTCCCAAGTCCTATTTTTCCTAATACTGTACAAATGAAAATAAACTCACTGCGGAAAATAAATGTAGATGGGTCGGTTTTTCCACAGCTGGAACACACTCCGTTTTCGAGAAATTTCAGTTTTCCCGAGGACATTTTTTTTTATTTGTAAGTAACGTTTATTATATAAGTAAAGTTTTTATATAACTTATATTGAAACTTGATATTAACCAAAGCTTTAATCAGAGGTTTTAAATGTTGTATTCTGAACTTATTTATACATGCTGTTTCAGAGATAAATGTGAGATATTTCACAGGACAATATTTCAAGTATTTGGTATATATGTCACTGTAAATGTCCGAAATGCGGTAAAACCTAGGTTTTACCTTAAAACGAGTGGGTTAGCGTGGTTATTTGGAGGGCATTAATTCATTAGTAAATCCTAGGTTTAGCCTTTGGTTTAGCGCGCTTATCCTAGTATAATCCCAATATATAATGCTTGTTTTACCGCGCTTATCCTAGGTTTTACCGCATTTTGGACATTTACAGTAACATATACAGAGAAGACCAGGCTACTAGTAAGATAGCAAGTTGCCGGAAGAATTTACCTTTACCCGATTTGCGTTCGTACTAGAGATTCACTGCCGGCTAGTCGGCTGGTCAGACAGTACGCAGTTGCAGTTGTGCTTGGACGCCTGGACGGGTCGGTCGTGACACTAGGGATACGACGCGAGGAGTGCCGAGTATTTATTATTTTCATTTTAAGTGTTTACCTTCACTTAAGGTAACATTTAAAATAAAAATACTTAAATATTTATTATTTGAGTGTGTTTACAAGCCAAAATTAAAAATAAATAAATTCTCTAAACCCGAAAAAAACTAAAATATTACTCTAAATAAAAAAAGTTATAACAAGTGTTCAAAAAGATCACCTTCTTATACTAGACAGAAGCCTAGGCGGTCGTAAAATCCCCGTATGACATTGGCTAACATATTAGGGCTAATAGTTTGGAAAGCCTCTCGTATTTTTACTTGAAGCTCATCCAGATTATTAGCCCTATTATGACCATACACTTTGGATTTTACATAACCCCACAAAAAGAAATCATTAGGAGAAAGATCTGGTGATCTAGCGGGCCACAAAATAGTTCCATATCCATATTAAACGGTTGGGAAAAGTATTGTTCAAATATTCTTGAACAATACGGGCATTGTGGGCAGGGCAACCATCTTGTCGAAACCAGACATTGTGGAATCTTTCTCCCAATAACTCACAAATTCTAGGGACAATCTGCTGCTGTAACAAGTCCAAATACTTTGCAACAGTTAAATTACCCTCTATAAAAAATGGACCAATCATATGCTCCCCTACAGAACCACTCCAAACACTTGCTTTAACTCCTGTTCTTCATTAATCAATACATCAGGCTTTTTGTGTTTTTGTGGGGACACGCCCCACCCGTGTGTTTCAAAATTATTAATAACTCTTGATATAGTAGGTAAAGATGGAATTGGCCTGTTTACAAAAGTTTGTGGAAAAATTGTTTGTATATCCCGATAAGATCTATTTTGGAAATACCCTTTTACAATTTGAATTTTCTCACGAACTTCGTAAACATCCATTATTTTACTTAAAAAATAAATTTTACACGAGAACTGTCGCGAAAATCTATGTATTCGTTTTGGCTATTAAAACACGAATAAATACAAATTTTGAAATATTCTTATCACATATCTAGCTATTTTTATTTTATCGCATTTTTTCGCCTGCTTTTTATCCGGCGGACGGGTATACGCTAATTCGTCCGGTTCTACCTATGTTACTACTACGGTGGTCCGGTCTGTATACCAAATACTTGAAAAAGTATAATATGGTAAAAAATGCATATAAACATGTTTTCCCATTTTAGCTAGAAAATCTTCATTCGCCGGTATTTCTTAGCTTCAGTCAACCGAGGTATTGGGTGAGGAAACAGAGTCCTGTTAAAAACCTCGTGAAAATCCGAAGATTGTTCTTGTAGAATGTAGAATGAGTGGGAGGGGAGTTAGTCATTGCAACTTTACAGACCTATTGTGTCCCTCTTTTTTGAGTTACAAGTCATCATACAGTCCCAGGGCTTTGACAAATGCCAGTATCTGGGACGGTTGGACACACAAAACTTCAATCTTTGTCGGTGTTGTAACGGAATTTTAAATTATATCTTTAATTTCGAGAAAATTTAGTCCAAACATATTTTGTTGATGTTTGACCATCCAAATCTT